AGAGAGAGAGAGAGAGAGAGAGAGAGAGAGAGAGAGAGAGAGAATAGATATCTTTATATATAATATTTGGGAGGATCAAAAGTAACAAAATTCATGGTAAAATTTAACAGCAAATGTACTAAATGGCTTTATGGATTGTACCAAAAGAATCTAGCATCTCATTCTGCTTCAAGTAACACATTAGAAGTTCAGCTTTCTAAATGCTTATGAGGATATTTGGAGAATTACCTAGGCTCATTCAGTATGTACTCTCAGTTGACATATTCATTTTGACTAAACTAGTCTTTAATGTGCTACTGAGTAGAATACAGTACACCAAATAATATTAAATAGTCTCTCAGAGCCTGTTTCAATAAGATTAAGGCCTTTTATTTAAATTATACTAGGCTGACTCAGAAGACAAGGAATTTAAACATAGAAAACCTTAATAAAATTGTAACTATGATTCCCATCTTGAGTTGTTTGTGTTCAAGCCACATATGAAGAGATGCTGCAAATACATATGATACACAAAAATATCCAGACACCAGTCAGTGGGCAAGGGATCTATTTCTAGGCTACACTGATGCACCTGGACTTTACACTTTTTTTTCTAAGGGTGCTTTTGCCCCCTCCTATAGGCTTGCTCAAACTTGAAATGTAGGTCAGAATAAACTAGAACAACTGGTAAGAGGTAAAGGATTCCAGTCCACTCTTGCTCTCCCACCCCTTCCCATACAATCACCTTCTTCCATGTACAGAAACTTAGTATCTACACCCCCCTCCCCAACTATAATATTTCTTCTAGCAACAAAGGCTATCTGGTTATACACAAGTAAATGCAGACAGCTGGCTCATCTTCACTCACCGGGAGAGAGGGCAGGCATCGTCCTATTCCTCGGCACCCTTGCCACCACTGCAAGACCCGCCGGGCTCTGGGCCCCCAGCCTTTCTCCATATTTGAGCTGTTTCTAGTTGGAGGTTGACTTCTATTCTGGGTGGCCTTATATTTGGAACAATATGGTACAATCACTCAGAAAAATACTGTTTCCCAAGACTCAAGAAAGCAGACAGAATAAGCTTAGTGAGATGAACCACAACGACCACAATGGCAAGCTATAACATGCACCCGCAGGTTAGGGGAAAATCCAAAATAACAGTCAGAAGTCTATGTGGGACCTCACAGTGATGTCTCGTACACAACAATAACTGCACTCTCAAGCTACCAGAAGGAGATGCTAAAAGGGAAATTAACAAAAACCACTTCAAGATAAATGATGTCATTTCATGGATTTTACCTATTAGGAAAAAATTATCACAAGTCTTCCAGATATATAATTTGTGGACTGTCTAAACTTAACATTAATAATAAGTAATGTAATTTGAAGCAATAGGTACTTTTGGTAAAGGATACAAGTTCAAGATTTAACCAATAATAATATTAAGTTCCCAACAAAATTGTTGCATTGTGAAAATTAAAAAGTATTAAGAAATTATAATTGCATGAAAATAGCTTTTATACTCTAGTTTTTAATAATTTACTCAATGTTTAAATTTGTATACTCATTGGTAGTAGAAACAATATAAATGAATAAAAAAGAAAATTCTGAAACTAATTTCCCTGAAACTAATTTCCCTGAAATTTCAGCTTTGTACTATAACCTACCTGTATAAGTCTATTAAAATGTTCAGAAGCAAAATAAACTTATTTGAATTAGGTATCATTTTTATTCCTAAGACTACTGTTTCCCAAAGCAAAACAACCAAACAAAATATCACACATTCCCACACAGTGGCCAATGATCCCAGTGTGGAAATGTGTAGGTTAATTCTGAGATATCAAAACTGAGAATAAAATATTTTAGTTCTCCTTTTCAGGGATGAAGTTTCAGTCTTCTCCAAACCACAATCTATTAGACACTGTCTATTAGGCCTACCTATTAAAGTGCCAACTGTTATCCAATACCAAATGGGTAGACCTGAAGACATATGTATGAACAACATCATTCAGACTGAGTATGTTATATTTAGGAACATAACTGTATATACATATATGCCTAAAACAGCAACTAATCAAAAAGGAGATTGTGGATTTGAATTAAAACCAGGAGGGCTATATGACAGAGCTTGAACAGAAAAGGAGAAAAGGAAAATGATGTAATTATATTATAATCTCGAAAAGAAAAGATTTTTAAGAAGCATTATGTTCTCATAAGTACGATTTCTAGAAGATGGTGTTTTGGTGTGATTTTTCACAGTAATTTTAGGGGTGGAACAACAGAGAAGATAGATAGTCTTAAGTCAGAGGTAGCAAGCAGTTCCAGCAGTTGACTGGGCTCACTCTGCGAAGTCGGCACTGAGATGCTTACCATGTCTTACATATTCTGCTCTTCATACATATCAGAAAATTGTATATCTGTGCCAGAGTCAGTGATCACATCAGCATGCAATACTGATGTGAACTCATTCTTTAGTTAAGTGTTTCATATGTAAATATCTGACCTTATTTAATCATCAAAATGATTATATTCAACAATATATAAAATGGTTGATGGCTTTAAGTTTACTAGTCACCCACACTAATCAATTTTATTTCTGAGAGAATTGTTAATCATGTACTTCACCCATGAAATCTACAACAGAATCTCAATCTGAGAAGTCTGCAAGCATGAAGAGCTTTTCAGAGCATATACAAAAAGAATGCACAATATTTTCCCACTGTGGGGATGCTCATGCGACATAAGGTAGGTGCACACATAAGGCTTATAACAAGATTCTTTCTTTGTAAAAAACATCAAATATGTTTATACTGTATCACTAAGCCCATGAATGGGAGTAATATACAAAAACCACTTGGTTGTAGAACAAACAATTTGATGGTATAACTATTTTAAAGAAAAATTATGCTTCTGGAAAATCAGGATTCTTGATTTGCTAACATATGTCAACACATGTAAAAATGCATTCTGAGGAAACTATTGTCATTCGACCTTCATTCACACTAACAACAAATCTCAGGTTTTGTCAGCTCTCTGATTATCTACCATGAAATTTTCTCAAGGCAACTTCATACAGTAGAAGAAATCTTCAGTATCTCTACCTTTGGAATGATTTCCAGCAACATGGGAAATCCAATCCTTTTCAACAACTATCCCATTAAGTGTTACTAATACACTAATAACCTAGCTGCCATTACATTGAAATAATTTTTGAAAGTTAAATTATTGATTTTCTACATATTCTTTAATATAATTTCTATGTATAGTTTGACATTGTGAGTCAATAAGAAAAATATTTATACTTTGAGACAAGAAAGAAGATGGATGTAAGAAGTGTACAATAATGATTTGTTTTATTTTCTCAAACTCTAGAAATAGCCATACTGAAAAAGCCATAGAAACATTAGAAATCTGTGAGAAGGGAGAAGTAAAACTTAAGACCTGAGAGAAAGACAAAGGGGACTGTCCAAGGTTTGCTCATAAGACAAGGTATCTCAGAAAACCATGGCTAAAATAAAATTTCCTCTTGAAAGATTAATAGGCAAATCCATTAATAATGACTCATTGAGAATCTTGGGAATAAAGAATTGGAAAACATAAAGTAGCTGCAATTTAAGCTAAGAGTATCTTTGCCCTTCTGAGTCAGGACTGATCTACAGACTTCTTCACTGACTTAGAAAGGAAGAGGAAAGAAGAACCATTCCCAAATCCCCTACACAGGAGTTGTACTGAAGTCAGTGCCTATAGTCTCAGGATTTGAGCGGTCAGAATTTTAATGACTCTTAAAATTCCTCTGTACTTAAACAGAAATTCAACTTTCAATCAGCATATCAGGGCACTTAACTTCCAATCAGGACCCTTTTAGTGAATAGTTGTAATTATCTGAATATATACAGGGTCTTCAAAGATATAGTAGTATCTCTCTTCTTAATATTTCTTAATGGGTTACATATGTATATTAAGAAATCAAAAGCCAATTTTGCAAAACAATTTCACTTAATCATGATTTTCTCAAATTTGAGTCAATACATATTATTAATTAATTCTTGCAAAAGTCACAAAATTATCTATTATTCTTTTAGACGAAACATAATTCACAAAAGATGATTATTCCAAGTTTGATCTGAGCTCTCGACAATACAGAGAATTTGCCTAAAAAATTAAGCATCCACAAAAATTTTTCCCAATGATTCACTGTAATTAAGGAAAATGAAATTAAAATTGATAATGTTTCCTGAGTTTTATATTCTACTATGGAATTCTGCAATATGGACACACCAGACTTATTATTAAACACACACACAGAAACACACATGCAAATGAATGCAAAAATTGAATCTTTGCTTAATCCTATTGACTCTTATTCTAATTACTTAAAAAGGAATACTATGTTTCTTTGTATAATCTCTACTTTTAGGAACTGCAAAACTGCTGCACACGAAGAGAAGTGTAGATTAAATAAGAGATGTGAAGATCATTTTGGCAGACTATTCAGAAGATTTCATTGTATAGATAGGCAATGATATATACCCCCTGCTTTGCATTTAAGATTATTTTTATTCAAATAAAATCTAAAATTATCTTTAAAATATATTAAAAACTTATTTAGAAATTGTATATATCTCCCTTCAAGAATGAAGTCAGGGAGTTCAGACCCCTCGCAATAATACAGACTACTGCCACTGTTCTTAGCTGCCTATTTGATAGTAAGATACTGTTTTTGACAATTGATGGTCACTTTAGTGTCAAAACATGGAAAAACAAAGCTGGTAATGACCAGGAAGACTTTTTAAAGGCTGGCTAACTATCACGGTGCCAGAAGGTGCTACTTAGTCTGCTGAAAGAGGAAAGTCATCAACAGAAGTGCTAAGATATGAACACTACAAGAATGACCAGCTTGCCAAGTTATCACAGGGATTCAACAGTGGCTGGACTGTTAGGGGGGTAACCAACCATATTCCAGTTAGATTTAGGGCCCATTCCACAGAAGAAAAACACTTGCCTGGTACTGTAAATCTAGCCAAGAACCTGGGGTTAGGCAGGCAAGACCCCAGGGATGAACCTACTGCTAGTATTTTTCTAAATGGACATCAATTTCCTCCATAAATGCACATCTGCCTCCATACCTATGGATTAGTGCAGCCCTCAGTTCTCTTCAGAGAAGCTTCTCTGTACAGTGGAAGGTACTAATATAAAAACCCATAAGTCACCAAAGTACGGAGAATAATTGTCTGGGAAATGATTAGCTATAAATTAAATATCTCTACCATATCTCTTTCCTCCTAGGCTAAGGGAAATTTGGGAAGAGGAGGTGAAAAGGCTCTTAGATCCAGAAGTCAGGAGTTCTAGGGTGAAACACTTTCTTCTGGATAAGACAAGACCAATGCACTCACGAACTCACTGCAGTTATGGTTGCCTGCACAGGACTTGCATAAGATCAATCCAATAAACTATCCAGTAGTGAGGAGGAGAGGGTCAGGAGCCTCTGCCCCAGGTTACTGACAGCTGATGGCTACTCAAGTAGGGATAACCTTTAGGAGTGTGGTACCTTGTAGATTGACCATTCTCCAGTGAATTACACCATTGTATACATGGGCAGAATTAACTAAATGCAATGGGTTATTAACAAAAATAACAACAAAAATGGAACTCAGCAGGAAGTATAACAAGGTAAAAGGTACCAGAGAAGGTAAAAGGAGGAAAAGGAGGAGTAGAAAGCAAATGCAATCAAATTATATTTTGTGTATGTGTGTACACATATATGTAATTCTCAAAGAATTAAAGAAAATACTATATTAAAATAAATCTATACTTATATAGATTATTTATTCATTTAAACATTTTAGGTAACTATCATATAATATAGTTACACCATGTAATTTTATATTCTAATGAATTTTTATTGAAAACACAGTAAGTTTGAATTATGAACTCTATATGACATTTAGAAGCTGCATGCCTTTAAGAAAGCTATGTGATCTCTCTGGACATCTGTTTCCTCATC